TCGCAATGTCGACCTTTTGTCCAAAATCGGTCGTGCGTTCAGAAAAAGGCGTAAAGCGCGGCTTAGAAACTAATCTTTAAATAAACTTCTCCGTTGGATTGTGACATTAATAGATTGAGAGTACCACATAAAATTTAAATACATTAAAAGGGCTCTCAACTTGTGTGGAATTATAGTTTGTATGGAAACATCCGGACCTTGTACATGGTTAATGAATTAGGTATATGATAAAAATATTCCATCGAAAATAAAATGTTTGTTTACTCTTTCAAATGTCTCTTGTTTCTTGAGGAAATTGTTTAATTGAGCGATTAAGTAATAAATGCCACCAAAACACCAAATATAAATTATCTAATCATCTTAATGATCGCGTCGTAGATTCTAGATAACGGCACAATAAGTTGTGTACCTGAGTTTAAACAATAGCCTTTTCTTGTTTTTATGAGATGTACCCACTCATTACCTAGGTATTTACTAATGAAAGACAATTCTAAATATGTAATTACGGAGACATGCAGCATTAAACACTACATATTCTAATGATACCTCATTAAATAGTCAAAATAAAATTTAACCTCGTTATTAGGTTTCTCTAAGTATTTTTTTTTGCTGTGTCTGAAAATTTTCTACGTATTTTTTAATAAATATTTATAATTTTTCATCTATTCTAATATTCACGTCCGTCCAAATTGGTAAAAAAAAACTTAGTCACATAGGTGCAGGTACCTACTAAATACTTAAATTATTACACACCTATTTCAATTAGTTATCCTAGTCGTTATTAGGTAGGGCTAAAGAATGGAATATAATATTGGTTCCGAAAAACAAATTAATCTCCAGCGATCTGTGGCGGACTATAAAAATGGATTTTCAAATAACAAAACTAAACTTCCGAATAGAATATTGAACCTCTGACAAAATTACTAAGTTACCGACAATAGACGTTTTAGGTTAGGTTAGGTTAGTATTGTAGCAATAAACAGTCATGTAAAGTAGTCGGAAAGTTAGTATTTTAGGCAGTAGATTTAATATTTTAGTAAGGACAATTCTTCTTTTCTTGTCACGAGCTTTTATTACTACCCCTAAAGAATTAGTTTCTATACCTATGGATAGGTATGGTAGATGTATATTCTGAAACAAATACTTATGTAGCAGCTATTATTGAATAATAAGTAAATCATAATTTTGATACAAGTCATTTTTAGGATGGGTAAAGGATTACTTATATGAATTTTCTAAACATGGAGAAGCAGTTAGTATTACTTAAATAATAAATGAAATACAATTTTGATTCGAGGAAAATTGTTGCTTATGTACTTTGTATAGACTTTTGCTGCTCGGGTTATTAAGTTAATATTACTCATACTGCGGTAATTGCAATGTATTCGCTGTGTGAGTATTTGTCCACGTAATAAAACAGGACATTTCTCAATATTACGTGTTAGATTATCTCCTTGACGTAACAACATTCCTTTAATAAATGTTGAAATTGCTGGAATGGTACTTTCATAGCAGAAACGTCGAAAGATCGGGTTTCAAAATGTAGAGTACACTTTGCCAGTATTATTTTTCAAGTTTAGACATTTCTCGAATATAAATACCTAATGTGCCGACGAGTAATTTCATAACTAACTATTTATTCGGTGCGCAAATTACGTTTACCGTTCCAAACGTCCTTCCGGCATTATAATACTTTTTAAGATGACGTTATCATCTTATAGTCATTAAATTGTATGGTATTGGTAAACAAGAAATGTCTAGTACCTACTAGCTGACCCCGCAAATATCGTACTGCTTATTTTTAAGACAAAATTACCCTAATCGATCAGCCGTTTTCGAGTTTTAGCGAGACTAACGAACATTAATTCATTTTTATTCATAGGTATAGATAGATTTCATCTAGCTATTCTAACAATCGACACAATGAATTTCACTGTCTTGTCCTCGTTTACCGCACCTAATATGGAACTAGCACGATTTTAATGAAGTATGCCACTTTTCTTTCTACGGTAGGTACCCTCTAATGCTAACTTCCCAAGAAAACACACCAATTGAGTGCACGCACACTTCCACTATTTTCTACCAAAGCGGAGTTAATTTGTATTAAAGCAAAGCAATAATGTGATATCAATACATAGTATAAAACAAAGTCGCTTTCGCTGTATGTCCGTATGTATGCTTAGATCTTTAAAACTACGCAACGGATTTTGATGCGGTTTTTTTTTAATAGATAGAGTGATTCTTAAGGAAGGTTTGTATGTATATACATATTGCACCCGTGCGAAGCCGGGGCGGGTCGCTAGTATTTAATATATTGTGGCTTCATTGCAAATTATTGCACGATATTAAATGCTTCAGACATTAGTGGCGGTGACGCAGACTAGCTATAAGCTCTGGCCTATCCCCGCGCAAAAATGTTATCAACACAATTTATTGCCGATTTACTGCTATAATAAGTAATTCGTAATCCCTACTCTAATCCAGATACAGCAATGTACCACATTGATGCCTTATAGTTTAAGATAAAGGCGATAAAACAAGATTATACCGACACTTCTTTTTGGACAAGGTGCCGACAGGAAACAGTTAATTGTACGCCGCGAATGCAGTCGGTCGCGATAGCTGCATGCTCCGGAACATGCAGGCATAGTTTCAGTGAAGTGCATAAATAAAACGCCAAAATGTCCCCTGTAGGTATACAGCCTTAGCACATGCACTTCATGTGAACGAAGTACATATTTATAAGAAATCGAAGTAGCTCTGTGCCGAGTAAACATTTACCAACAAGCTAGTGTTCAAGGTTTCCAACAGTCCATGAATAAAAAGTTCAAAATGTTTCGCCTTTTACGTCAACTCGTGCGCATAGTCGCTGCAAAGGTGCGGAAGATTGAAATGATCGTGTTTAATGCAAGCGTTAAAAGAAGGGGAACTATCCACTCAGTATGCGACCGGGGAACACTAGGACACGCCGCTCGAAGGCGGGGCACCATCCACTCCATATGCGAGGTGAGATCAACGTTGTACACTGGCTACTCGCTAGGTACTCTCAAAAAACTAATTAGCATAATTCCAAGTTCACTGCCAGTTTTCACACTTTTTTATTCCAAGTTTCTATACTGTTTTGTTTTTTATGAAATAATTAAGTGTGGCACAACCGAGAACGGTCTAATTGAGACATAGATGTTGTTAGTACCTACAGTGATCCAGCTTGTATTCGCCAATTATCATAGCAATGAAATAATATTGAGTAATTAATTTGAGTTTGTCTAATAGGCACTGGTAACCAATGCCTGGTAGGTGTTAAGCTAGTTCATTGTTTCGTGTTGAATGCTATTTTAATAAGGATGCGAAAATCTAAATTGATTAACAAAACGAGTAGCTAAATGTGCTAATTGGGACAGTACAGCAACAATCCTGTGTAGTAATTTTACAAGCGTATCTACATAAAAAGTGGTAAAATTAAGATTATTTTAACGAATATTCAACTGTTCTTGAACTTATTTTAATGATAAAATTTAGCAAGAGAAGCAAAAGTTTTCCAATGTCTACAATATTACGTAGTTACATAACTGCAGTCGATATTTAAATACTCTATCGAATTCAATAAAATTGTTTAAGAACCCGTTACGATAAGATAAGTAAACTGAATGCATTTATAATCCTAATTCTAAGTTGTAAATATACATATTATATGCCCGTAGGAATTTCCTTCTTCTATTGTATACACTGTAAGAGCTTCCGTTTTATATTTCATCGGAGTTTTTATTCCAGTATTAGTAGAGTATAAGCCCTAGAGAATGTTAATACCTATTGTTAAGGATCGTGGTCACTGGTTGTGTTGTGTATTGTATTAATTATTGTAATTCAGGGTTTCTCAAAGAGGGGTACGCGTACCCCTAGGGGTACGCCATTCGATGGCAAGGGGTACGCGACAAGATTTACGCAATGTTAAAATTGACCAAAATTACTCCTAAAATTGAATCCCATTGCGACAAGAAACAAGCACATCCATCACATTAATATTAAAAAGACATTTCTTTTGGCACTATGTTTGTTACCTTTTATTTAAAATAAAAACCTTATTTTCTCCAATAGTCAATTTTATTATTTTCTTTGGGGGGGGGGGGCAATTAACCCTTAGACTGCCATGTCAGTCACCGGTGCCTGACGCTAGTGGAGGTTTGACTTTCATCGTTTTAAAGTTGGCAGTTAAAGTATTAATTAGTTAGGGGTACGCTGTCACCTTAAAATTGTAACAGGGGTACGTGGTACCAAAAGTTTGAGAAACCCAGTTGTAATTAGTTGAAGTAGTGCGCACGAACTCGCACTGTTCACTATGAATGTTGAATGTGAACTGTAGATCGGGAATGCATCACCTGCTAGTGCATCTTGTCGAATAAACCACGATGTTTTCAGTGTTGCCGCTTTCATGAAATGGAGTAATTTATTTTACTCTATACCTTTCAGTTTGTTTTAAATACAAGTGGCAATACTGTATAGCAACTGTTCATTTCGCAAATCATTACTGTTTGTAATATTTATGTCACTTAAATTCATTCATTCTATGTATGTAAAAAATTTAAGCATGAAGCAAGACTACAATCTCGCCATTGCCGTACATGTCTGTTTTTTCATGATAATAATTATTGTCTCATAGTTCATATTACTTATGAGTGAGTAATAACAATAGAGTAAGTAAAACTACCAAGTCCCGACAATAGTAATACACTAGTAACTGAAATTACTGTTCTGCCCTCTGCTCTTGCACAAAATTGCAATTTCCTGTAAAAATATCTCACTTGCATCTCTCCTCCACCTAATCTGCTCGTTTAAGTAAGTAGAGTTGATTTAGCAAATTTTTAAACCGTACTTTATCGATTATGCTCATAGAGGACCATAATTTTCTTTCTCTTTCATTTCATGTTCCGGTTAATTGATTCGACCTGTGATCTCATCAACGTGTTTGAATTGCATTATTGACGTGTGCGTGTGTTGTGTAGGTGCTGTCGATGAGCGATGAGCTTCGTCGCGCGCTGTACTCGTCGGGCGCCTCCATCGATATGGAGTTCTCCCCGCCCGACCTCATCGGCACCTCGGAGATATTCACTATGGAACACAGGTAATTTACTCAGACTTACGACTTTACTAACAACATTTTTTGTTTTGCCATGCTCGATACTGGCACCGTGTGGTACGAATGTAACCATTCTGTTGTAATAACTGGAATATTGTACCCGCTCAGAACAATCATTGTATAATTTCACATCGACTATATTTTCTTTTTGTGGTTTCAACTTTTTTAAAATATGCATTCGCCGATTCGCGGCTCTTAGTAGGTAATAAAAACTCAGTCCGGCTGTTTATAAACGAGTGCAAAACCTCCATAATTTTCAAGTCTATTTAGAAATATGTCAGTAAAGTAGTGTTAAATAATGTTGTTATTAATGTTTCAGAGAGAAGCTGTGCTCGGTGCTACCGGCGCGTGCACAGGGCTACATGTGGCAGCTGGCGTTCAGTACGAGCCAGCACGGGTTCTCGCTGGCCTCCATGTACCGCAAGATGCAGCGCGTCGACAGCCCCGTCCTGCTCGTCATACAGGACACAGACAACAACGTGAGTCAACATTACTCATTCGGCTTATTGTTATGTTTATTGCGCAACGTTGAGGGCACACGGTTTTAGCAATATGCTTTACCGTGTTTTGTTGACAAGCTTTCGATAACTTAACTTTCGAAAACGATAGATTATTCTCGAAGAAAATGGATCTTCGTAGAATTTCATTATGAATAATAATATTCCTATTACTGTATGGTTTGCAAAAAAAGTATGATATCTACCACCTTCGCCTACCTAACCTACCAGGGATCAATTACTCTGAATCGAAGCATCAATCATAATTTGGGTTTAAACAAGTAGGACATAGACATTGAACGATAGAGTTTAACCAGATAGATTTAGGGATATACAGTTATAAATTAATGCTCCGATAGTACAAATAATCGGTAAATTTACTAGTTGGCGGTACCAAAAATATACAACACAGGTTGTTAAAAAGTTGTTTGTGTCTGGCAGGTGTTCGGTGCTCTGACATCATGCGCGTTGCACCCATCGGAGCACTTCTACGGCACGGGCGAGTCGCTGCTGTTCGCCTTCCAGTGCAGCGGCGAGGAGGCGCGCCGGCAGTCGCAGGCAGCCATCGAGGCCGCCAAGGACAAGGACAACAAAGACGACGCAACCAAGGATGAAAAAGAAGGTCAGCACTCGACTATTTTATACTATCTTGTCTAAATAACTGTTGCCCTTTTTGAGTTTGCTGTGTACAGAGCCCAGGCTAAAAGAAAATGATCAATTTTCAGATCACCCACCACCTGTCAAAACCAAGTTCAAGTACTGGGGCTGGACCGGGGACAACATGTACTTTATACGCGGCAGCAACGATAACATATCTATTGGAGCTGGAGAGTAAGTTTTTTCAAGCTTGATATTTATTTCTATTATTTTTATGTACACATTGATTGTAGTATGTTGAATATGTTTACTAATGTGTTTCGTTTATCCAGTGGCAAGTTCGGTCTTTGGCTGGACGGCGACCTGTACCTGGGGCGCACGCAGCGCTGCAAGACGTACGGCAACGAGCCGCTGAGCACGCGCGAGGACTTCATCGTGAAGATCATGGAGTGCTGGACCTTCATCTGAGCGGCGCGGCGCCACAGCCCCTCGCCGGACTCGCCGCACGCGCCGGACGCTATGCGCTCCACGTTTCTACTTTCAAATCAAAAATAAGCTTTAGATTATCTTATGAAATTTGCTACGAAGATTTGACACTTTTACAAGTCAGTCTTTTCGACTTTAGTACCGATGAGTCTGAAAACGATTTTGTACTCGCATTGTGACTCGAAACGTAGCGGCGCAGATCACCACCGATCGGCCGATATGAAGACAATATTATAAACGTCTACGCGCATTTCTAGTCAAATGTACTGAAACCTGACCAATGTTTTCATCCTCTCCGAATTTAGAGGCGTGTTCGGATACGAGTGCCGCCGCTCGGGCGCGGGCCGCTGTCGCCCGCGACTCTGCTGAGCAAGTGCATTAATCCTAGTCAATTGTCATTTGTATGTAAGTGGGAGCTCTCCGCTGCCGGGGGCTCCGGGGGCTCCGGGACGGCGATATCTGTTGCGGCAACTCGGGCGCCGCGGTCGGTCGCAGGCCACCGCCGTTCGCCCGGACAGTCCGATAATTATTACGTGTCAATTCATACAATTAATATTGTGCATTGTTGTTAAGGAAATTAAAAGCATATTTGTAACTATAAAAATCTGTATGTTATGTAGAACTTTATATATTAACGAATCAATCATTACCTACATGTTTAGAGGCCGACTTATTGGCGTGTCCAGTACCGAGGCATTGTGACACATTTCATTTCATAAGTGATTCTGGTTCATTCATGACTTATCGTTAGAGGCAGCTCGATCGTGTTCGGCAGGGCACGCAGTAGTAGTATGTGGTCCTTGCCCAAGTAACGAGCGTAGAGCCTCAAGCCACTATGTGTAGCCCGCGCAAGGGTCGGTGACACTGTCAGTATAAATATTTTATTTATTTACTATTTGTGTAGGTTTTGTATGTTATGTTGTCGTGTCTGATTGTATTGAGTCATAATATTAAGTTAGTGAGCATAATTATGTTACACTTGTACTGTGATTTGATTATTATGGTTGCATTTTTAACTTATTGGAGCGTTGTCACGGATTACATTAACATATTATTCACATACCATACTGGTGGAGACTTAGTGAATATCTAACATATCTTCATCCATGTCACACGTTTATATGAATGTTTATGATAGACACAATACGAACACGCAAATAAAATAGTCTACAATAAACCATAGATTATTTTTGTGATGTGACGCTTCAGTACAGAGATGAGTAGCCAATATATGAATATTATTAAATTAAATAGAAAAAAAAATCTTAAATAGATATCTTAGAATGCTTGATGAATGTAATCGTCATTGTGCTTAGTAATCGTTAGCATGATGTTACTCAGATCTATCTGGTCGTATAACATTATTTATTTGTCCTATGTGTAAGCACGCGCTAGAGCCGTCGCGCCGCGCTGCGCAGGCGCATCGCCCGCGCATCTATCTACTGCTATGGCCGGTATAATGGCGCCGTCTTTTGGTTTTGTTTCATATGTCTACTGTATATACAAGATATTCCTATGTGAGATTAGAAAGAGATATATATTTTTGTGGAGACCACGCGAAGTATTAACTTTTGTGTATATCGGATGGTAGAAAGTACAAGTACCACAAAGCATGTCCCAACTGTTAATGAAGTGTAGAATATTACGCGTGCGTCTTATTCAGACAGAATATTTTCACGTTGTTATTGTTTGTGTACATCAAGAATGTAATAGATGAACTTAGGTTTTAAAAATTATATCGGCATAATTATTGTTATAAATTTATAATCATTAGACTTGTTGAGTAGCAGTGAGAATTAAAAAAATATTTATTTATTCTGTTATGGTTTCCATCGTACGGTTGCTGTAGCTGCATTACTTTATCGGTGATGATTTATTATGTAATTCTAAGTTGTTAAAATGTAAATCAAGCCATAATAATTGAGAATATATTCTTTTGAGAAAGAAATTGTTTTATTTGTATGATAAGTAAATACATTAGGCATAAAATACATCTTCAGGAGAAGCTGTCATCAGTACTGATATCTGTGTCGGGGTCGGTATCCTGAGGAACTGTCGTCGTAGTTGGAGTAGTCATTGTAACCTCTGTTGTCGCGCCGCCCATAATTATTGCGATCTCTGTTATTGTCCGGCTGGTAAGGATGGTTGCGTCTGTTACCACGACGGTCATTGTTACGACGACCTGAGTTAGGAACCCACCATGAGTCTAACACAGGTGGTGTGGAGGGCAATTCATTGAAAACCTTCATATAATCAACATCTTTCTCAGTAAATCTATCTTTCAATTCTTCCTCGCATTTGGCTAAAAATTCTTTATCTTCAGCTGATAATGTATCAGCAGCCATTTTAATTTGATATGTTACCAGGGTACTCGGTTATAAACGCAAGAACTGAAATATGAAAACAATATAAAAACAATTAAAAAAAATTTAAGAATTACTATGATAACAAATTAAAGAATTCAAACACAACAAAACCAACAGCCCATGGAACAACAGAACCTCTCAATCCCTTCCGTTCCTTACCAACAGAAAGACAATAAAAAAAAACAGCATGTTTATCTCAAAATAAAGGGGTTAATTACACATTTGTTGCCTAGTCTATAATATGGATTAGGCTTCTATGGGACTAAAAAATTAAATTATTAGTACTAATTCATTACTATAGATAAAAAACAACAAGCAGGACTGCATGTTATTTTTTTTTAGAAACTTCATCAGTTTCACACTGAACAAATGCATTTAAAAAAATTATGAATAACTGATTAATATTCCACCAAAACATATCATTGAGTTTGTAGTGAGATATGTCATACGCATCAAAAGCTTTTACAAGTGCAGTTCATTCATAAATGACAATGATTTTCCCTGTTGTACAAATTTTTTTGTCAACTAACAAATTGAGCCCTATTTCTTTTGGTGACTATGATGTTTGTCTTATCTTTCTTGCTAATACATAAATAATGCAAACATTGTAATTGTGTTAAAATAAAAACCTCTTGAATAATGTTAAGACCCAAAAAAGCAATAATAACAATGGACTAGGTTAATATGGAATTTAAATTCACACACTTCATTGAATTGGTATCATCTGCAAGTTGCATGGCCATGAGGACAACACAATACAGCAATGGAACTATCACATATTAAACAGAAAACCAGACACAAAACAGACCAAGAATTGAATGTGAATAATATAAAGAATTGATAATATTTACAATTTTCACTGATTACAGTTGTTAGAACAAGACCATAAAATTTGTTATTTGGAGCACTGGAATAAATGGGCTTAAAAATAAATCCAACAAATGCTCCACACTCTGAACAAACACATGGCTTCCAAAGATAATCGGGAAACCAAGATGTACTTTCTTCCCACTGTAATTATTTTAAACAATTTTATGTTACAATGCAGTGAATGTTTCAGAGCAGGACAGTCATGAAATTGTTAAGTAACATTACCTCCCCAGTAGGTACACAGGTAGATTGTTTAAATGTTATCACAGGATAGTGAAAGAACACGTCAGTGGTAAAAACCTGCACTAAGACATCTTCCTTGCCAAATATTGTGTCATAGAAAGAGTAACGAGACTTTGCACTAGACTTCAAAAATATATCACTACTTGATGAAATTTCTACGCCACAACTGCGACACAGAATATTTTCTGACATGATACAGCTGTTTTATATTTCCATAAGAGCTAATCCACAATATTTACAAATGTATATTTCAGTTACATAGATACCCTTGTTTTGCTGTGTCAGGTTAACTTCGTCAAATGCAATCACAGAGACTACTAAACTTAAAATAATATGCCAAATATTAGAAATCATTATATAACAGAGCAATATACCTTATTAGTTTTAAAACGTATCTCAATTCTTAAAAAAAGAGTCTACTATAGTATTACAGGAAAGAAACTTTAAACTGATAAAATACACACACTGTCCAGTGTCACCTGTGTCACTGTCAAACAAAATACCACATGACAAGTCCACAACATCAAAAAAATAATAGAGGGTCAACTCACTTATCACCAACGTTACCAGTACCATAGAGTTAGTCTTTGGTGTTTGTGGTATTGACTAGAGTCCGGAATGGTTTTAAGAAAAAGCAAATTAATACTTTTATTTTATTATCATTATTTTATTTTTAAAACACAATGTGTTAATTCCACATTACAAGTAGAAATACGAAACGTTGAAAGTTGATCAATTTTTGATGATTGTTTTGACACTGACAATTTTTTTGACATTTAATTGACGTTTCGCTAACAACACGCCAACACACACATACACACCTAATCAAAGCCGTGAAAACGAAAAGTGCTAGCGAAACTGCGAATAAATATAATTATCATATTGGAAATCTTGATTCAAAATTATCTACAAAATGTCTGAGAATGTTAATATTGATCTTTCCGGAGAAATTAATGCTACTACAGAAAAGAGAGGGTTGCAAAAGTATGTGAATGATATGGAATTGTGAGTCTTACAATAACAAATTTACGCTACGTGGTGTTTTCTCGCTTCTGAGATTTGTTTATGCTACATCGTTCATCATTATTACACGCTATAACTTTAAATATGTGATTGGACCTAGTATTCATGTTTCATGAAAGGTTTACTTTGCGATATGGATATGTATTTATTGGTTTTTCATCATATCATGACCAATTTTTTGTTATGTTTTAGCTATTTAATTTACGACTTGTTGTTCGCTACATTATTCACTCATTCAATTTTGGTTTGGTAGTAATGGAAAGTTACATCAATACCTACACCACATAGTGCATATTTTTTATGTTTCTGTACTGACAAACTTCCTACCTGTATATGAATATCACTGTTACATTTGGAACTATAATAATGAAAATATCTGTAAAGGTTGCTTCAGCATGTTCGTAGTGGAGCTGGTCCTGCCCTGCTCATGGGAGTACTTGCATCACGGAGACCATGGACCCAGTTTGTGGCCACCGACAACTTTAAGGTTTAGATATTATAATTTTAAATTTATAGCCAAATTGTTGGCCCAGTATATTTACTGTGCTGCTGAGTAAAAGTTTAAGTAATATTGAATGATTAGAACTAATAGCCTTAGAACTGTTTTTAGAAACTTAAAAACTCGTCAATACTATTAAATCTACTCCAATTTGAATATTGATCAACAAATCAGTTATTTTATATTGTAATATTATGCCTGATTTAGTATTGTATCAATTTTGATAGATAAAATGATAGCTTCAACAGCAAATGGTTAGAAATGATATGTTGTTTGAACCCTCAATAAAAATCTTATAGTAAAATATATTTATACAATTTTAAAAATAGATGTTATGTTGATAATGATGACTATTTTTGGTAGGTTCCTCCATCAGTACCTCGGTTGTCCCGGCGATTTTACAAAAATGTGGAGTATTTTCAAGCAAATTACTTGATGATTTTTCTTGGATTATTTGCATATTGTTTGTAAGTATCACCTGACATGAAGCAGATAGCATTACTCGTGTTTTTTACAAATTCATCTAATATTGGTTTCTAGGATTACTTCTCCTCTTCTCTTGATTGCTATGGTCGCCAGTTTCTTTGGATACAGAAAACTTACAGCAGGTCCCAACACTTGGAAGGTGAGAGTAGATAATGTATACATACTTGGTATATTGATTTGAGATAGTGGTATATTAAATTAAATGTTATTTTTATGTTTGTTGTTTCAGCCAAGAGTGAGTAGTATAGATAGTATTTACTTCTGTTTCATACTCTTCTTGTTTTCTAACTTACACCTGTGTGTTATTTAATAAATAAAAATTTATTGCTAAAACTCTTCGATCAACAATAGCAACTAGATAAAGGGTTACGTACAAAATCAAGCTCCAGTTCTGTCCGTGTGAATAATAATAGTAAAACGATAACAAACAGAGAAAAATGTTTTAAAATAGTTTTAAGTTCAACCTAATAACAACCATGGCACCTAATAATAAAGTCATAAATCGTCAAAATATTATCTAATACTTACGACCATTCGTCATATAAGACGAGAAAAACATTTTCTTACTCCTGTCATGTAAAAATTAAAAGACATAAGTTATTTAATATCTAGTTTGAATACAACCTTAAGCTAGAACAAATAAAGATAATTTTTCCGTTATTACCTTGCGATGTTATATCGTTTTGTTTTGTTTCGTTTTGGTTTTTCGAATTTCGAATTTCGCTACAGGAGGTATGTATGGAGTAGCGTTGAACACTAAAATAATTTTATAAATTATGAAAATTAATATTTCGGGATCTTAGTATACATCACTTATTTTTATTAGCGGTACGTTTTTGTGTACGATATGTTTATTTGCTTTATTATTAAAAGTTTAAGTCTCAATCAAAATCATTTATTTCAGTTAGACCAGGAAGGCACTTTTGAACGTCAATAATATAAATTTAAAAGTGAACTATTTGCTCATTCCAAGGTGTAGATTCCTATGGAGAGGAACGAGCAAGAAACTCCATAGGTTAGGTACTCTTTTCCAATCAGGTTACAATACAATTTTATTTTACAATACAAATCGACTCCATGCATCCACTGTTCTGTTTAAACAAATGTTTGTGCGCGTGTTGGCGATGCTTGGCCAAGGCGTCGCCAACATACGCACAAACATTGGTGGTGTTGTTTTATAATTGGTAATTTTGTCTAATTTGATATTATTTACTAGTTTAAAAGCTTAAAATATAACGTATACTTTATGGACATATCGTAAGTAAGACACTCCGGCCGTTATAGTGCTTTTTCGGTTATTATTTTTGCAAATTGCAATTACGCACTGCGGCATCGTAAGACGTGAGCACGTTGGCCGTGTTTGGAGCATACTAAACAAAATAAGAGCTCACTTCTCAAGTGAGCTCTTATTTGTCGAGACGATTTTCTTGCGCCGACCCGATATCTAGTTGTTATTGTTGATCGAAGCTAAAACTCAATAAAAAAAATGGTATTTTAAAGAGTATTTTTAATGTGCACATTAAAGATTTTACTGTTTTCTTTACTTGAATCTACTAACTGACCGTGATTGGTGTGAAGTGAATACCTAGTTGCTCTTCTATTGATTTGAACTTTTATCTTACCTTTGTTAGATTGGTGGATGGGAGTTAAGTAAAACACAGCAGTATGCAGTGGCAGCTGGATGTTCCATGGCATTGTGTTGGTTAGCTGGTGCTGGCGCAGTGCTGTTCTGGGTTTTAGGTAATTCAGTTGATTCATTCTGTTTGTAATTTCTTAGATATCAAACTTATGCATAAGTTTATCACATTTTTATTAGCTCGTTAAAATGCAAGTTATTTCAGGTGCCACAGTGACGGTGGTAGCTCTTCATGCAAGCTTCTTTGATGCGGAGGCTCTACCTCAGTCTGAGGACCCAGAGCAGTTCCCGATGATAGAGCAGGTGTGACACGGAGAATTACCACTATTCCTACCCCACCCTCCACCTGGTCGCAACACTCAGCGATTTAGTTAAAAGAAGGAATCCAATAAACTTGTGGATTATTTGGACTATATTAAATTTAGTGGCAATTATTATAAAAACTTAGTGCAATATGCACATAGTTACTTATCTACATGTAATATTTATTTATATTAGAAATAATTGACTTGATCAATTTTCTAAAAATTGATTATAGTAAATGAAACATTATTAAAAATGCTTTTGCATATATTGTGCTTATTCATTCATATTACTATGAAAACTAAAAAAGATGAGGCTTGAACTATAATGTATTATTGATTAGGGCTCACATTCACTTTTGATGTGCATTTTGCTTCCTCATAATTATTATGTGGATGTTAGAATTTTTAATTAGGCAGGTTTTAGATGTCAATTCCTGATATTCAATTTGATAAATAATTTATAGTAATGTGTACATTTTATGTTTAAACTGTCAAACACCAAGCGGTCACCGGTGACCGCAACCTATTGTTCTATAATTTTGTCTATAATGATGGTACTCGACGAGTTAATTAGCTTTAAAATATTTGTCTAAATCATAAAACAAGTATATAATCTCTTTGTTTTGTAATATTTTATGTGTATCTGTACATATTCTTCACTGTATCTATGTGTAAATAAAACCTATGTTGGAATGCTGTTATTTAACTTAAAGTTTTTGTATCATTTGTAATCACCAACCATAAGGAATTGTGTTTAAAGTGAGATGTGCGAATTACCACCACGAAAAATCTACCCATGGTTTGTGCCATAAATTATTATAGTTTACGATAAGAAAGATATGAAAGGTTGTGGAAGTTGCAACATGGGAACTAATATTGAATCATATAACAGAGAGTAAGTAAAAAAATAAAAATAAAGGCCATTTCATTTATTAAGATTACAGAATAAACAAATAGAAAATAAAAGCATACTCTATAGGTATAATGTCGTAGTTAATGGTCTGGCTATACATACTCCAGGTAAAAAATAACATAATTTGTCACAAAATATATATTAATCCTAGATTTAGGATCATAAATAAATTATAATAAAACGGAGTCCAGTCTAATCTCTCACACATCAGTACAAGTTTTGCACTAAATAACTAACACTCCATATTGCTATCATAACCAGAAGCAATTAAATATTATTGCATCAAATAAAATTAATCTGCTCTAAGCAACAACTGAATAAAATTTAAATATAGGAACAAGTACATTATAATTTTGTCTATAAAATAATAGTCACTATGACATTCTATATTCATTCCTGGAAGACAAAATAGAAAAAAAGAACTATAAAAATTTTAATTATTACAATAGAATTCAACATAATCACAAGACTACTCCTTTGTTAATTCTAGTCAGTTCCATGTCAGCTACTAGCAGGATCTCATCCCACTTGTGTGACGGTGTATGAGGTGGGGTTGTGATACCAAGCTTCAGTTCTTTGGTGGAAGTTGGAGTGGTGAACTCCAGTTTCCGTTTAGACTTTCCAGCAAACACATGGCAAGCTGAGGTCCTCTGCTCACTGTCCAGCAATGACAGTGGTGTGATAGGGGATGGAGTTGTCAATAATGTCTTATCACATTTCTTCATCTTGTGTGGGCCCACATACTTAAAAACTGGCTTTTTTAATATTAAGTTACCTGATACTTTTTCAATGAGACCAATTGAAATGAATACATTGGCAATGTCATAGAGTCTCCTCACTTTGGACTTGTGTTGGCGATCCTGCTGCTCAGGAGTGAGGATTGTCTTACTTTTGTTAGAGGTGTCTATCAATACCCGCACAGCCATCTCCAGGTTGATAAGAGTATTCTGAAAATAAAAAAATCATTTAAAAATGGCTTGTGTAAAGTTTTAAATAAAGAGATATTTTTATGTATACTTACTGGAGGCTCTACTAGAAACAGCATAAGAAATCTCTGAGCTAACACTCCTAAAGTCTTATGTTTTGGTGTTGGGGGCTTGGGGGCTTTCCCACGCAGTGCTTCTGACAGCTTGAGGTGCTCACCCTGCTTTTTCAACATCTTTAGAAAAGAATTTAACCGGGATCCTCCATGCCACAAATAAGTATTCTTTCTTTTGTGCACAGCACACTGCATGGCTTCGAGTATATTTATTATGTCATACATTCGACGTTTCTCCACACCTAGCCGGGCTGCAGTACTATCCAGTTGTATTTCCACTGGGCCATCACCATGAAGAGGATATAGATTGAGGAATCTGTAAATAATAATTTCGAATTAGTAAATAGAAATAACTGTTTATTAACGTTGTATGCATTTGATTAGTAGTAGTTTATGTACGTTACCTGTCACATAATATCTGGAGAGACTTTTCTTTTCGGTGAACTGCACTCGGCGGCGGTGTGGGATATTGCAACGCAACATTTGTCAGTAACTTGAGGTTAGCAGTCGGTGACACATAGTTTGTTGAATTTGTAACTTCAGTAAGCACGCAACGCTTTGGAGTACAAGTTATGTTGTCATCTTCATACATCATGCGATAACATTATGTAAAAATCCTATTTTACAAAATATTCGCGTACTTTTTGACAGTGTAACACAAATCCAGTGGGCTTATTTTGTATTAAATCTTTACTAATAATAAAACGTAATAAGAAATAACATATTTTATAGTTTAAGTGAATAAGAAATAGTGGTAAATCTTATACGAAATTCTACAAAAGTAACCTCACGGTAAACAATTTTGACAGTAGTAAATTGCGCGCGAGGCTCGAACTTTCAGTGAAACAAGAAAAGCCGCTTTTACACGTTTAGTTTTTGCTTAAAGTTAACACTGGTGCTGTAATGTAAAACATTAATAGTATTAATAGTAAGTCGTGATCAAAATTATTGAAAAAAGGCTTGGTTTTATTACTAAAGTTTTTATATGTAGACATATCGTTTAGGCATTATATGAACTTGTGGTATGGTACATGATAAAAGCGAGTTCATTTTATTTAATAATTTATGTAATACGAGAAGACTCTTTTTCTATACTTCAGTATTCTTCATTAATTATTAATTACATATATATCCAAATTATATTTAGTCCGAATACTAATAGAGTGGACAAGAAACGGAAGTATCGATGTCATAGTTTATGGAAGTTATGGAAGGGAATATTTTTTTTTTACTTGCGTCACGTCATGGCTGGCATGAAGCTTGATTACTTTTCTTGCAAAAGTGAGCTTGGTTTTCTTTGAAAGTGGAGGTTTCAGCCAATGTTTTGACTTTTATTTACATTTAGTTTAGTTTCGATCTAGAACTCGTTAATCTTGTTTATTTGTATTAAACGTAGTGTTCATTTAAGGATATGTATCGTTTACTCTAGAGAAAGGTGTAAATCTATCACAAAATGAACGACGGAGATTGGATATGTAGTGATCCAAATTGTGGAAATATCAATTTTGCACGCAGAGTTTCATGTTATCGATGCAATAAGGAGAGACCCGATAGCTCCAATAAAAAAAAATTGGGCACAGAAATCGGAAAGACTGCGGCAGAAAAGTCTCGTGGTTTATTCAATGCCGATGATTGGCAGTGCAACAAATGTGCCAACGTTAACTGGGCCCGGCGTCAGACCTGCAATGTTTGCAATGCACCCAAATACGGTGAAGTAAGTAAATAATTTAGTAGTAGTAAGCAGTAATGTTTGACATAAAACAATATGTATAAGTTTGTGGTATGTATGCCGAACTAGTATTCTTCGTATGATTTTAGGTAGAAGCTCGTACCGGTTACGGTGGAGGTTACAATGAGCGCGGTGTGGTGGAGTATCGAAGGCGCGAACCATCCTCTGATGATGAGTATGACGAATTTGGTCGAAAGAAACGCAAACGTAAGCCAGACTCCCAAGAGAAAGAGAAGGTATGATTTTTTTTTATTAACTCTGTAGAACTTTTAATGGAGAGCTTATACAAAAATAACATCTGTTCTATATCAAATATAATTAATCACAGTTTAAAATAATACTTAATATTATGTTTTGAAAAATCATTAACACCATTTTATAAAATATCTGTCTATTCATACAACTTAAAATATTGACAGCTTTTTGTGTAAAATTTCTTTTTTTAACTAATATTCAGGGAGTAATGGATTTTGAAGCTAAGAAGACTTGATGTTATATTGTAAGTGCAATAACTTTTGAAGCACATCATTATTAAAGTGGAGATAATTTTTCCTGCCTTCAGGTTGGCATCACTGAAGGAGCAGTATGCAAAAACTTGCCACCAACAGTGCTGCAGAAGGAATCAAATAAAGAACATAACAAGTCCGTTCATGGGCCAAAATTTTTCATGAATACAGTATATAGTAATAATAAAAGAAATGGCACTCTTAATGATAACTCCAAATGTGAACTTTCTTCACTTCCAAATGTAGCCGTTACTAAATATCAGCAAACTAACACTCCAAAACAAGATCTAAATAAGTTGCCTACTCTCAAAACACATAGTTCGTACCCAAGAAAAAGGTCAATAAGCAGTGGTGACCGAGATCATACAGCATCATTTGGATATGACACCGGTTCAAAGAGAAGTAAACGCAACACCACAGATTCTATGCAAAATAAACTGCGTAACCCTGTAATGGAAAATAGTGTTTCTTCAACTAAAAATGAACTAGCTTGCAAATTTTCAAAAAACAATGCCGCTGAAAATGTACGAGTTACATACACCCTTGAAGAAAAAGTAAGATGTGCAGCTCTAGCTATTGTTTACAATAACTGCAAAATTACAAGTAACAAGTTTGAAGCTCTGTTTACTAAACCAGCTCCTGATTTTGAAACAATTTTTACTTGGAGACATAGGCTCATGACCACAGGCTGCTTAGTTGATTCTCATTCAGAATCTGAGAAGGCCCTTCAACAATGTCCTACAAATATTTCCGATATTACTACTCAAGAGGCACATAGAGTATCTAGACTACCAAATCCAGATGAAATAATTATTCCTTCAGAAAGTGATGACGAAGAATCAAGTAAACATTTAGAAAAAACGGAGAGGAGTTTGAGTGTAGAAACATTGCTCATTGGTACAAACAGGGACCTGCAAGCTCCTGGTAGTTCAGCAAGCACTGTAGATGAAAGGGGTTCACGCGGGCGAAGTTATTCACAATCCACACATCACAGAACCCGTTCTAACTCACGAGACAGTCAAGATTCCAACTATCCTGATACAGACTCAGAAAAAGGGTCAAAATCTATTCCCAGAAATACTACAAAATCAATAAATCTCTCAACAAAACAGTCAATACACGATTCTGATTCTGAGTCAGTCTCATATAACAGTGAGGAAGATAATTTCTTATCAAGAGTATTTGGGCAAGACAGAAAAAGGCGAAAATTAAAGAAACATCTTCCTATCCCTGCACCTAAACTGAATGATTATACTGCAAGTAATACCAATAGTTTTGAGGGGTATAGCACTATTAAAAGTATGAAACAGTCTCCTTTAGTGACTGGTAATATTTACACCAACAATTTGCGGAATATGAATGTGAAAACTCGAGAAAATATAGATGTGGATGGCTGTTCTAGTGAATATGTTCCTACCAAATTAGGTTCAACTGCTAAAAAGAATTATCAAGAGTTTAAGGATAATGTCAGGAGGAAAGGATTCTGGGCAAAGGGCAATGGAGCATCATTAGCAATAAATAGACACAATATGTCAATAGACATTATACACAACACAACACCTAAAAAACCACTTGAAGAAACAGTAAAACCACATGATATTCATCAACATACAACAAGTGTCCAAGTGAAACCATTAAAGAAACGAACATATGAAGTCAGTAATGATGAAACTGAAGTCTACTCTAAACCAGAGCATTTCCTTCCTTTTGAGAAACCACAACAGACAGATGTTGAACAAAATACTCTTGAGGACACTGGTCGCATTTTTGCACAAGTTGAGTCAAATAGTGTGTCTAAAAATAAAAGCATTTTAGACATTTTTGATATTAGTGACCCAGCACTAAAAAGCCCCCAAGATGATTTAGAGAGCTTTAATAACATGAGAACAATGTATGAGAACAAGTGGGATGAAGATGATGAAGCACTTTACAAAATTTCTGATTCTGACGAGCAAGCAGGACCAAGCCAAGAACTCTCACCAATTACCTCTAACAAGGGTCATAGCCCCATTTCTAATATGTTATATACAACAGAATCGAATACAATTTCAAAAGGTGCTGGTAATTCAACTTCAATATCAGATTTCATAACAGACAAACATGAGATGCTTATGGAAATGTTAAAAGATTTTCAAAACAAAGACCTTGGTAAAATGGTATCACCACTAAAGCACGGGACCCCACGACCACCATCTGTGGAAGACGTAAATATGTACAACAAGACTGTATCAGATGCCAACATTCCCATGATAGAAGTTGAAACATTACCAAATATATCTTTGGCAAATAGTGCTCATGCTGTTTCGAATCTTCTCATGACTAGACCAGATCCTTGTCTGAATATTAAAATGCCAAGATCTGATCTAAATGTAAATTCTACAAAAGAGAGATCTGATTCTAGTCCAAACTACCATATTAAAAGACATGATACAATGCAAAATTTTACTGCAAACAGACCTCCTATTGAGGCTGAATACCTGCAGATATCGGAGATTGCAAATCGTAACAATAAGACCCCTGGACTAAATATTTTCAGTCTTTTGTCTGGAGAATCTCCTAACTCAAAGGAAAACAATGGCTTGAACAAAGTTTACAATTTCACAAATAGCAGACCTGATTTGGTACCTACTTTTAAAAGTAGACCTGATCCATTGCTAAGTTATGCTAAACATGATCATGCTGAAAGTCCTCGTGTTTCTGATGTATCTCAGAATGCTACTACAGCCAGACTTGACACTATGTCAAATCAGCCTATGGCTGATACTGATAGAGTGCCTGATTATGCTACAATTAGATCTGACTCAAATCCTATTCATACTGTGAAAATACCTGAACCAATTCCAAATGAATTGTCAATTGAAGTCTTGCGATTATCAGAAGAGAATGTTGAAGGTACCAAAATTGTTTCTAAAACTATTAGTCCATCCAAACGTGTTCATATTCTGGAAAATGTTAGTATTCGACCAGGTTCACCGCATCCGAAGATTTTATACCAGCAAAACATAACTGAACCCACAAGCCCTAAATCCAACACAGCATCACTTTCGGCCAATGCACATAATGCACAATTAATTACTTCAAGCCCAGAAGTGAGTCAAGAAGGAGACACATTAGAAAAACCTGTAGAAAACGCGCCACCTACAGGACAAGTAGATTTTTCAAATTTATTGGCTAACATAAATACTAACACTTTACTATTGGCATTGCAAAATCTTCAAAAAATTGGACAGAGTACTTCACCTGTACCCAACGAACAAATAAGTACTGAAACACAAAGTCCAGTCAAAGATATGCAAGTTTCAGAAACAATTAATTTAACTAATGATGAGGATTGGGAGAAGGAATCTAACAGAGATGGCAGTATTGAAAGGCAATTGGAAAAACTGGATGGAAATACAGGCGACACTCCTTTTTTAAGCGATATTTTTGACCCGGGTCCGGTTATTATACCACCTAATATAGTAAAAAAGTTGAACTTGGACATTGAAAATCTCGAAGAAGCAAATAATTCATCAGAAAACACACCTGTTATAGGAAATTTCAAAAGTTTTGCTTTACCAAAACCTATCATGCTGAATAGGTTAAAGCTCACTGTAAA